TGCATATCGCTTGAAAACGAACACTATGTTAGATATTTTTGTTGTCTATTAAGACCTAATGAATTCATATTGTCTCGATCAAACGATAAATTGATTCTTCGAAGCTTTTGATTAAAAAAACCAGCTTTATATTACTTCGATGAATTAAAATTACTTCTATCAATCAAAATTCTATAGAATTATTTGATCTATTCACTATACAGGACGAAAAAACGTCTTGTCGAATAGTGTCGCAAAGTATACCGTTATATCTTGTTTTCAAAACCCTTTTTGATTTGTTGACATCTCAAAAAAAAAATAGACATTGAACAAGTAATATCAATCGTAGGAGAGCCTGTTGACATTTTTTTTCTCGCTGCCGATAAAAAAAGAAAACTCACTTGTTCAAAAGTTCGAAAATAAACATTTTGACAGTTAATTACCATTAAATAAATACGAAGTGTAACTTCAACTTTCTCAGTCTATATAAAAATATAATTGATCTTCAATGCGATATTGATTACTAGAATATGACCTTAAGAACGATTGAACTTTTTCATGTGAAAAATATTAATTTTCTTCTTCTTTCACAACGGACTTTAGTTTTCTTCCATATTGATCGATGCCAAAGATTCTAGAGTAATATGTGAGTGTTATTACTAATTTTCACTTCATATACATTAATACTTTTAAAAATTGTATTCGACGAGTAACTAAAAGTGTTTTCCATGATGCCCGATAAAAAAATAAATCATAAGTAAAATCGGAAAATAGTTACTTGGGCATATATAAAACTAAAAAACATGAGTGATATATGACGTCATTTGCATATAGAAAATAAAATAGAAAAATTATTTTATTTATAAAACGTTTCATACAATTGTAGATTAACTTCAACATTGCCAATCGGCGAATGTGTCTATTCTTAAGTTATAACTAGTCAAGATGAGGAAGTAAACGATCTTGTTAAATGCTTTTATCAAAAACTAGTGTTTTCATTTTCATAATTGTAATTAATTTAAACATTGCTGTACTATTAAAGATTGTAACAAATAATCAGTCTTTGTTGAAAAAAGGTCATTTCTACAGTAAGTCATGACCAGAAAAAAAATCGGTTCTTATTGACTTTATTTAACAAAACATAATAAAAATTGCATTTATATGGACTGTTTTCCATATATTTGAAATGCTTTTGAGAATACAAATACATGTTTTAAATCCTTTCAAGATTAACAATGGAACATTTTAGTGTTATTTCTTTCCATTTGATTTACTGCTAACCGTGATTGTATAGAAGATATGAATGGTACATAGAAGTATTTATCAATTTAATTTATTTTACTCTAAATAAATTAGAAAAGGTATGTTTCATCGATATTTATATTGAATATAATTATCACCATCATAAATGATACGTATCAATCTGTAATGATGTTTCTTTTAAACCAAATAAGCATCGATTTATTGTTAAATAAGAAAATTAATATTTTCTATAGGCCAGTCTTTCTTGAAAAGTAAACCTGTCTTCTTAACAGCATATCCATTTAAACAAAGTATATTCTCGAAATAGAATGATGTCTCTCTATGGAGAAATAATTTCTCTTTAAAAAAAAAAGGTTTTTTTTTGAAGCAATACTTTTCATAGGATACTCGATCTTTATTTTCTTTCTCATAAGAGAAAAAACACAATATATTGACACATGAACATTTTCTTAACATCTAAAATATTTTTCATATTCAATAAAAAATAATTCTTTCATGTAAGAACATCTTGTATCTTATTTCAAGACTTCAGACAATAGTATAACAGAAAGGAGACCTCGTTAAAGATGATACTTTTCAGAAGAATATATTCATGATAGAATACAAAGAAATAGTTTTCTCTTATATTATTTATTTGATTCTCAATTACTTTCCATGAAATACAGTACATCTGTAGATCATCTATACTATTGAAATCTTAAGATTTGATTGTTTTTTTTGCCGATCTATTTAGTATGTTTCTGCATCTCAAATAAATAAATATATATATTTCTGCTGTTAAAAAGTAAATTATGCATATATACCTAAATAAGTTTTGTATTCAAATGAGTAAAATTCAAAAGAATTGTCACCGACTCTATTCTCTGTTCTTTCGAACTCATTTTATATTAAATATTTCTATAACTAAAAAGGTAAACCATATATAGTAATAAATGCTATTCACTATATTAGTACAAATAGTATCATCTTTAACTTAGATATTTATAACACATTGTTGATGTATAGATGCTTTTTTGACGCGTCAGACACCTTATTGATCTAGTTCACGTAACATCGAGTAGAATTTTAGCTTCTAGATGCGATGTTATGATTAGAACGTGACTCGAAAAATTCTGAATATACAAATCAATTTATTTATTTATTTTTATTATAGATAAAATGAGTTCTGCTTTCCAATGCACATCTTTTCAATAATTTTGTTCTCCGTTCGTACTGATTTCCTAATACGGTAAGAGATATTTCTGAATTGACATTTTTGTAGAATATCAAGAAGATATATCCCTAGTATTACATATATGTCTGGAAAAATAAACTCTAATGCATTTATCACAGTTTGTCTGAATTGTGCTATTGGTGAATGAAGTTTGACGAGAATCTCAGTAAAAGTGATTCATAATCTTTTTTGATAGATATGAATCGAAGTGATAAGTCATATAAGGCATCAATAAAATATAGTCATTTCTAATAGTTAAAAATAATTAAACAAACGATCACAATAAAAAGAAAAACGTGTCATTAATAACCAGCAGCGTGTATCATTTGAGAAAACAATATTAAATAGGTAATGTATAACGACCACTATTTCCCTAAACTTTTTCTTTTAAAATTCTCTGTAATATATCTTTTTATACAAACAAACTTCTTAGTACACGATCTATGACTTGAAAAAATCGAATCTCTCAACTTTTTAACGAGTTTCGACTACAAAATTTAAAGCCATCTACAATTGCCTATTTTAACTTTAAGTTTTCAAATTTCAAAGGACAGAACTAGCTATTAATATGATGAAAGTCCCCAGATCGTTATAAATAAACATGTTTTCTAGATGTACGTTTCTTAAAGTCTCTTTAAATCATACAAGAATGTGTATGTACGTGCACATTAGTAGCATCTATGTCGAGTCATTTAGTTGTCGTATTAATTTTTATTTTATGAGTACGCTCTATTATTGTTATAAAGAGATACTTCTAGGAATGCTTATTGGTTGTCTTAGGTGAAGACTCACATGTGCACTTATGGCATCAATTTAAAAGGAAATTAATATTTAATAAGAACTAAGTGAGAATATCATTTTGTCTGAATAATTTATAGAAAATAATTCTAACTGAAAAATATATTTTCTTCTAAGTATTTTATTTACATAGTAAATGAAAAACTCTGAGTTTCTAGGAATTTCTTTTTTTTATCGGATGGCAGGCTGTTTGCAATATTTCAATTTCATTACTATACGAATCAGGTGTCTGCAAACAGAATTTGCTCTGCATATTTGAAATAAAAGATCTTTCCAACTTGTTATGGGAGATGTATACCAACAGGAAATTAATTTCATAATTTGCCAAAAATTTTTTTTTTCTGTGTTTTCCTCTAAGTATTTTTTGGCCAAGAGGATGCACAGATATCTGTGACTAGGCTTCTGGGTATTTGTAATATTTATTCTGAGGATTCGTAAAAACTATATGTATCAGTTCATTTTATAAGTGTAATTTTTAGATCTGTTGAAAAATACAATGTTTATTTTCTTCGTTTTCAAAATGTATGTTTGTCTTGGATGATTCTATTTGTTGCTTCTAACGAATTTTCAGTGCATAGTATTAAGCTAAAGTATCCTTGATATCTGGAATCATGAGTATTTGAATACTCTACTCCAAAAATTCTTCATTCCCACTCCATTGCTTCCATTACTATTAAAATAATTAAAATGCACTTTTAAGCTATACTTTATCTTTAATAGTGTTATCTTGTCTTGAATAAAATGACTTACTGTTAATAATTTTTGTTATCTACATATTAAGTATCAAATTTAGCAAAGGTTTTTATTACGAAGAAAGCTTAAATTAATTGTAAATCCAATAGTTTTACTCAGCATTCAAATTATTTCGTTGGCTTATGAATAATCGTAGACTTCACGTATATCCTGATGTAGACGTAGTTACGTTCTTGAGGGACACTAGCCCAACCAATAGATTAATTCATGTTCATATGTAATATCGAAACGAAATTCTAGAATACAACGTCATCATAATCGGCATACACTCTCGAAAAAAATTTCCGATCGTTAACGCTAGTGCAAAATCTCACAGAGTTCGTGATAAAAATCTCGAAAAATTTATCTATGGATGTTTAATAAACGCATTTAGCCTTTTCACAACTCAAGATTCGAATGATCATTGTCATTTTTCAACTTGGTTTCCAAATTCAAATAAGATAATTTTCACATACTTCTAAGCATTTTTCATAACTTACACATCGGGTTTCATTGGACCATGCACCACATCTGGTAGCTGAAACCAGTTTTATCTTACTCGATTTTTTTCAGCTGACCTACATAAACGTTCATCACAGCAACTGAAATTATATTCTCTTAATATTGTTAGAACTTTCTCAAAAGTCATAATTGTATACGATACAGAAAACACATCATCGCAAAATCCAAGCATCTATTTCGACCCTCTCTAACTGTAACACAAAAAACTAATTTCAAAATCGACCGAGAAGCCCTCTTTCAGTGTTATACATAGACAGTAGATTCTCCACCAACCAATGTCCCTCTACATGGAAGAAAAACACATATGTACAGCAAACGTGCTGAAAAAACACTTCGATCCCTATCGTCACTCATGCAAAATTACATGGACCTGTTCACACACCATTTAACATAAAAAAATTTTCTACTACTGCTATTTCTAATTCAAGAGAAGAGTGTTTTTCATTGCATATTCCTTTATTATGGATTATTCTAGAGAATAGCATCATTTAACATGGAATCTGAACAACATATAAATCTTCAACCCATGAATCAACCACAAGTCGCTCAAGCTGCTGCTTCCAATTGGGTTCCCGTGATGCATACTGGATTGTAAGTACCATTTGCCCAACTAATTGATAGTTTAAAAAGCAAAAAAATTAATCTTTTATGTCTGCAGGAGCAAAAGTGCGACAGTCTTGGCTGGTCTCGGTGCCGTAGCAGGCATGGTTGTGTTCACTGTAACACTTCTTGTGCCGATCATTGTCACACAAAGCAAATATACGACACTGACAAGTAAACATAGTTGATTCTAAGAAACTTTTCACTAATCTCACACGTTTTAGGTGAAACAACCACACTAAATACAACCACTACGATGGCTACAATTATCAACCCGACGACAACCGACACAACACAAACAACAACGATCAGTACGGAAACAACCACTGCAACTGAAACAAGCACCGCGGCTGAAACAGCGACCGCAACTGAAACAACCACCACAACTGAAACAACTACCGCGACTGAAACAACCACCGCAACTGAAACAACCACCGCGACTGAAACAACTACTACAACTGAAACAACCACCGCGACTGAAACAACCACCGCAACTGAAACAACCACTGCAACTGAAACAACCACCACAACTGAAACAACCACCGCGACTGAAACAACCACTGCAACTGAAACAACCACTGCAACTGAAACAACCACCACTACTGAAACAACCACCGCAACCGAAACAACCACTGCAACTGGAACAACCACCGCCACTGAAACAACCACTGCAACTGAAACAACCACCACAACTGAAACAACCACTGCAACTGAAACAACCACCACCACTGAAACAACCACCACAACTGAAACAACAACCGCAACTGAAACAAGCACTGCAACTGAAACAACCACCACTACTGAAACAACCACCGCAACCGAAACAACCACTGCAACTGGAACAACCACCGCCACTGAAACAACCACTGCAACTAAAACAACCACCACAACTGAAACAACCACTGCAACTGAAACACCCACTGCAACTGAAACAACTACTGCAACTGGAACAACCACCGCCACTGAAACAACCACTGCAACTGAAACAACCACCACAACTGAAACAACCACTGCAACTGAAACAACCACCGCGACTGAAACAACTACTCCAACTGAAACAATCACCGCCACTGAAATAACCACCACAACTGAAACAATCACTGCAACTGAAACAACCACCACTACGCAAACAACCACCGCAACTGAAACAACCACGGCAACTCAAACAACCACCGCGACTGGAACAACCACCGCGACTGAAACAATGACCACTACGGAAACAACCACCAAAACTGAAACAAGGAGCACTACGGACACATCAACGTCAAGTACCACTGAAACTACTACAACAACAACCACCACAATAAGTGAGTCTTGTTGGTATAATTAGAATGGATAGTAAGAGTGAAATATTTTTGAGAAATTGGGAGAGAGTTTCTCTGGGTAGCCTTGTTTGTTTATCGTCTAGGTTCTATAGGATTGGAAGGTTGTTTTGGTTTATTTAGCAGTGGTAGTGTTTCTTCGTGTTCACTGGCTTTTGATCGATTGTGACATCGAATGTATAGGGCATGGGCGTGTTACAAAGTATGAGAATATGGTGGACATGTTCAAGATCGTCTGAAAATTAGATTGGTTTAGGTGACTTGTTCAAGGCATCGTTATAGTTTGAGAACTATAAATGATGATTATTATAGTTTGCCTGAAGTTTATTTCAATATCTCCTACTAATGTTATGGAGTACAAGAGAAATATTGGGATCATCCAGCTTTCTTCAAGCTTTGCGGTTCTGGGAGAAAGCTGTATGATTGTGAATGATCAAACGTATCTATTGTTTTGAAGAGAACGATCTTTGTAGTATATAGAGAAAAAGAATTGTTTGATAGTCACAGAGTAGAAATGCAATCATTATTGACAGGATATGCTTTGCTTTTCCGTAGAATGATTCCGTATTTGTGTGAAGGTCGAAGCGGCGAAAATGTTGAAACCAGATCCACGACGATTTTTTTGTAAAATTTGTGGTCTTTTGCAAAGGATCAGTAAGATTTGGAATCGTTTTGAAATTTACTCCTAAAAAAGAAAATATTTTATTTTATACAAGTGGATATTTCTTATTGATTTAACCAATAATAAGTGAGAATCATGAATCTTTCGAATAGTTTCCAATTGTTATTTGTTATGCATCGTGTGGGAAATACGATCCTTTTGATGCCATATTAGACATAAAAATTAAGAAATGACTGAATCTTTCGAAAGTTGTACATTACATTATTTGCCGCTGCAAAAGATAGATTGAAATGTAATAGGAAGGTTAAGATATTTACGATTTGTCATATTTTTGTGAAATTTATATGTGAAGATGCTTGTTCTTTCTTTTCTTGCAGCTTCCTTATGAAGGTGTTAGCCAGATAGATGAAAAACTTCATAAAAATATGTAGGTAAATTATATAAATATATATGTATGAGTATTTGTCTTATAAATACAGGTAATTCTGTTACCGATATATACTATACCAACATTAAGATTTGAATAGAAGAATGATAGTTGAATGACTTCAGTACTGGTTTGTCTAATTTTTTCCTATCTGAGTTTATCGGAGTTTCTGTTTTTTAAAAACAATGAGTTACATCATTATTTATAGGTTTACCATCTTTCTTGGACGTTCAACCTGACACTATTTATGGTGTGTGGAAAACATTTGCTAGAGGAATCAGTACACTAGCGATTGAAAGTAATTCAGGTGCCGGAGCCTATCTTGTTGGACAATCTCCGAATAAACTATTCGACGGCAGTCTTAGTACAAAATATGCTAGTCGAGGTAATTCAAGCTCTGGAACCAATGCATATGCTGGTCTCAATACTGGTTTTTATATGACTATTGCTCAATGTCAACCAGTACTCATCGGATTTCGATTCGGTAATGCATACAGTTTTTCAGAGCGCGAACCACTTGAGCTTACTATCGAAGGAACTAACTGTGCGAATCTAACGACTTGTGTAAATTGGACTTTAATTTACAATGGATCAACGGGTCTTGATATACAAGTAAATAGTTTAGATTATGGCCAATACCAGTCAATATCGAACAGCAACGTTTACAAGAGCTATCGTTTTCTTATTACAGCTAAAAGAAACTCAAGTAATTTGGTTTCCTATAGTGAAGTGCAACTCTTTGGCTCTTCAACTCAATCGTCATCAAGTCAAAGTGGAACATCAAGTAGGTTTAAAGTTTTTAACTCTTCTGTTGAAATAGATCTCTTTTATTCTCATATACAAAGGTAGTTTTTGAAATCACTGTAGAAACTAAACAACAATTAAATAAGTTTTGTCTGTAGAATATTCTGTAAGTAACACTAAGATACGAATTGAACAAATATATTTCCTTGCCAGATAATTATTGAAGTAAACAATTTTTTATAAAGTAGCGCTACCAACATGACCTTCTATTAGTCGATTGAAGCAATAAAAATAATTGAGACACTATTTACTTCAGTATTGACGAATATGTTTAGTCCTGTTAGATGAAGTTATTATTTACTCTTATTTTCTTTCATAGATTCAACGTCTTTATTCGTCGTACAATCTGGATCTGTTCAAGCTCTATGGAATACGGTCGCAGGTGGAGCTAGTACAATTGCTACTGAGGATTCAACAGGTGTTGGAACATATGCCATCAATCAGTCTCCTGACAACTTATTTGATAATAATACTAGTACTAAATATATGAGTCGAGGTAGTTCAACTTCTGGAACCAATGTATACGCTGGTCTCAATACCGGTTTTTACGTTACAATTGCACAATGTCAACCAACTCTTGTTAAATTTCGTTTCGCTACTGCCGCCAATGCATCCTCACCTAATCGTGATCCAACTAATATCACAGTAGAAGGAGCTAATTGTGATACTTTGGTGAATTGTACGACTTGGTCAATTATATACGCCGGTTCAACAGGTTTAGAAAATGTTCTAGGTCGTTCTACTTATGGACCTTTTCAAAATATTTCATCGCCTCACACTTTTACAAGTTATCGCTTTCTTGTTACTGCTAAGCGAAATACCAGTGACTATGTTGCCTACAGCGAAGTAGAACTCTACGGTTATTAGAAACTGAGAAGGCCAAATTTTTTATAGGAATTTAATAACTATTGAAAATAGTTATACAATCGTACATATAATCATGAATATGCACTTAAAAACTTTTACTTTTCGTAATCAACATTTACTTGTTCACAGTTTCGTTTTTTTAGGCACTTTTATATTTAGAATTTCAAATAAACATAAAGAAAACTACAATTTATCAAACAATTAATCTACAAAAATAGTATTTTGAGGGTGTGGACGTGGGTGTCGATGTGGATATTGTTTTCTCTTTAATAACACCCACATTCTTATTGACATATGACTAAAAATCATTTTTACTTGACATAGTTATTCATTGAACAATGATATTTAAGTATTTGATGCTATCGGAAATGTAAGTCCCGCCTTATACAGTAAATTGTGAAGATTGAACGATAGTCGATTATTAGATTGAAAATGATTATTGAGATACTGAACGATTCAATTTCATATAGGGTCCATTTTTATCCTCTGACAATTTCCACCATTCGAACACAGCGACCTTGCGGCTTAGTTTATGACTTTGTAAATGATTAAGAAATTGTTCACATTGATTTCTATGTTTTTTTAATTTCTCTGAAGTGTCACTTGAGAGAATATCAAATATTTTCTTATATAATTTCAGATAGACATTATAATTTTCGTCTATTATAGGATTACAATTATGATAATTCTGCTGAAATCTCTTAAAATCATATTTCGATCCAATACATAGCCATTTTTTCCAAAGGTGATCGTTTATATTAATTTTATTCAAAACTTCATAAATATGATCGCATATTGTTTTGATTTTGGTTTTGTCATTATAATGATAAAAGAAAATTGATATTTTATAAATTGTCACTATTAAATCACATATTTTGTCTAGATTATCTCTCTTTTGAAGCAAGTTATTATTTCTTTCATATAAACAATTGATGACAATTTATCATTTAGTTTTTCACTGTATATTGATAGATACCGTTCATAAATATCTTTCTTGAAAAGATTAGTGCTGTATTGAGTTTTTGAAATATTATCAATACTGCAATTAATCGCTTTTTAAAACCAATTTACAGCTGCAATATAATCTTGTTTTAACTCATAAGTTCCTCCAATACCATAAAGACATCGAACATTTAAAAATAAATCAATTTTCATTTCAAATTGAAGAATTTCTTAATAACATACGAATGCATGATCAAGACAATTATACTCCAAATAATGATCAGTCAACTCAACATAAGCAAGTAGTACGTATTTTTTGTGTTCATCGTTCGTAAATCGCATCATAGTATTACCACCAAGAAATATTCGATTCTTCTCAATGAAATCATGTGAATTACTATTCTTTTCATTATGTCCTAATATTTTGACAAACATACTTGCTTCACTAGTATAATGATGTTCGTTATAATCGTTCAAAATTTTTCGAAAAATATCTATCTCTGAATCCCATTGTTCATTTATTTTATAGAATATGACCATATTAAGCAATGGTCGATCACAGTAATAAAAATATCTATCATCTTTGACAAATGGATTGAATTTAGTTTTGTAAATGTGCATATCCCAAAAACAATCGTTTTCTTCAATGAAATAATGTATCTGATTGATATTTGTGGCTTTTGTATAGAAATCTAAGGCCATGTCATAGTTATTCATCCCTCGATAGACATTTGCAAGAATACAATACAATATTTCCGATTATTTCACACGTCTTCCAAAGATTTTTCTTGTGAATTATGTTCATCGCGTGTGTGAGTTGTTTTAATGCTGATTCATAATTCTTCTTATAATATTCAATTAAACCAAACCTAACATAACACGAAAAAATCCATTCAGGTGAGTTCGATTGTTTTAATAAAATTTCATAATCTTCCTCTACAGATTGAAAATTATCATTTTCAACTAGTAAATAAAAACCAATGGCAATTATATCAATATAAAATGGTCTGTTAAAATAATTCTTTTTTTCATTCACATAATCTTCTATTAATTCTGTAGTCCAAAAATTATCATCTTGATCAAAATTAATTTGATCTATTCTAAAATATGAGCCAGAAGCAAATAAAACTTCTTCTTCAGCATCACTAAAAGCGCTGAACTGCGATATATTAGCGAATATTAATTGCTTATAATTGAAAAAAGATGATCGAATTATAAAAAAGACTGGTTGACAATCACTAATCGATCGATGAGAATCAGATATACCGGCAAAAAATATTCATCGCCAAATTACGATTGCATGTTGTCGATAAAAAACTTATTCTACAAATGCATTGGTCTTTTTTCAGTTCTTCCACTTCGCTTTTATGCATGAGTTGACCCCGGTAATAGATAGTGTCCGATGAAATATTCTTACTATCATATAAAATTGAAAGTTGTTGATATAAATCGGCAATAAAAAATCGAAATAAAATTAATACATTCAAATCTAACGATCGAAAAGCTTTGTTAAGTATACGATAAACGAAACAATCTCTTGTATACCAATTTATTGTTGTTAAAGGTGAATCCTCATGCTCAAACTCTCCAATTAATTCTAATTGTTGGGAATTATCAACATAGTAAACTTTTAATTGATCAATTAGCGGGCGACGATCGTTATTTTCTTTATTTATATTAACAAGTAGTTTAATAAATGGCGTGTACCAGACTTTTCTCGTATGCTGATCAAATTTCAAAAATGACTGTTCATTATCATTTCTTGTCTTGAATTTTGTACTTAATGCTTCTAATAGGACATTGGACTTTGTCACCGCATCTTGAATCTAAAGTTCACATAAACAATAAAACATTCATGTCTATTGATTACATACTTTTTTAATAGTCACTTGTCCACTGTGAAACAGTATTCGTTGAATTATAAATATAAATCTGATACATTTGATTTAGCTCATGTGTACGTTTAATAACTGTTTTGCCTACTACGATAGAGATAATCAATATAATAAGATCATATTCATTTTGTTTGATGCAGTTTTGGACTTCGTCTTGCGTATCAAATATAATGATACAATCAATTAATTTTTTAAGTTCAATTTGGAATTCATCTAACAATGCCAAGTTTTGACCGAAAATAACTACTGAATATACTTCTAGATTTCTGGTCCGTCTTCCTGATTGTTGTTGATCATTTATGGATAGATGCTGATTGATACTTCTGCTATTCATTATTAATCAGAAATTAAACGATACTTCGCCTGCAAGTTTTAACGCTGACAAATGGAAGAGAAATGCAGAATGAAGCACAATGAATCATTTTCATCGATAAAAACTGACTATTTATGTTTTCACCTTATCGACCGATGAAATGTTATCAAAAAAATTGCTTACTTCGCTTCATCAGAAGCACAAAATGTACGCTTAAAATTCGACGACACTGATTAAATATGTTCACATTGAAATCCTTGCACAAGAAAAACGACCTAGACTCATAAAGGAGTATGCAAGCGAAAATTTTAGCATTAAGAATACTTACACACAAATGAAAGCATGCACTACTTGTGGGTTTTTGTGTGCATTTGTGGAGCTTCAAGCACATAGAGTTGTATTAAACAACGAAACGTCAATGAGAAGTTTGCAAGTCTCTGTTATTTGATGTTAATCATTAATCAGCAACAAGTAAACGTGCTACTTTATTTTCTTTTGAATGGTTGGCTTATGTCGTAAGGTGTTGAACTAGGGTGTGGGTGCGAGTGTGTTGGTGGGTGGGTGTGGCTGTGCGTGTGGGTATGCCTGAATGAAAGACCTACACCCTCACCCACACTCACACCCACACCCACCCACACCTACCCACATCCACACCCACATACCCACACCCACACTCTTTCTTTGTCTATAATAGGAGGAGAAACGAATTCTCGATTTCTAAAAACTCAATCACATATTTTGTATGTGAGTTTCGAAAAATCAGTAGAGAAGAAAGCCAAATTACCATCTATTATACAATCGGAACTGGCCCCTCGTTGAATTTCAAGTGAGAATATCGTCAATTATGGGATAAATCCTATGCTCAAGAAGGACCACGTATTGGAAAACATCGACTGATTACTGACACATTGAAAAAACAACCGATGTTTGCAGGGTTCATTTATACAAAAAAGTCTCCATAACAAATGCCAAAAAAAAAGATGGAACCTAATATCGTAACAGCAATCACAGCATCCTCCCGTTGAAAGACAGCTCTGAGATCAAGTACTAATTCATACTCTGTTTGCTTCGTTCGTATATCTTTATTTTTTCTTTTTCTAACATTCTACTGGTTTGCAATAAACTAATCCTATCCTTGGCTTTTTCATTTAACATGAGACTGACTAATAAATCAAAGTCACTACACACTGTCTCTCATCTTCTAATTAGAATTATTGATTATAACATTTTGCTACATAGTAAAAACTATTTAATGAGATGGTTTGCCGAATCGAAACGCGCCGTGGTAGTTAATCATATTACTGATTTCGGTCAGAGATATATAAACTCATCTTCTTTGAGCATTGTCATCGACGTAGTATATGTGGTCGAAATATGAGAACGAACTATCAGTTTAGAATGATAAAAATGAAAAGAATTCGTTTTTTTTTCTTACTTTTGATCCACTCTGTATATCAAAATAGAAAAAGCATCATTAGTAATCTTTGATATTATATGATTAGAAAGAAAACATAGTTCACAGGAAATAGTGCATCAATAAAAAGAAGAGTTTGAAACAACTTTTAAGTTTATGATTTAGTAGAATATGGATAAGGTGGCGGTGCTTGATGGATACCAGGATTCTGAAATGTTCGTGGTACAATTATTACAGGTGCTCCTGTTGGTCGTTGTTGTCTTTTGCACAAATAGTGACATAATGCAGTTAACAAGATACATCCGAAAATACTACCGACAATGACAGCGATTAGTCCACCAAGTGTCAGATTTCCCCAATAATAATAACTAATGCAATAAGGGTAGGAACCACAAGTTGATCTGGCTAGAAAAAAAATAAGATCTCCCAATGATAAGATGAAAATATGTTGAAAACAACACTTACTCGAACAACAAAATTTAACAAAGCCTGAACCACAACATTGAGCTAGAGAGAGATAAGTGTAGAAGAGCTTGAACAGAGACTATAGCTTCTTATGGACTGGGACGGAACGATAGAAAAATTGTCCCATAGGATAAAGTCAAAGAAATCGTCTTATCCCAGTTTATTGGTTTTAAAATCTTTTTGGTTTCGTACCATCTGCTTGAGTCTACATTTGTTAGTTTTACTAAAAGACCTGTAAAAAGTCAGTATTTTGATAGTGTATGGTAAGTTTGTAAGTTTTTCTCAAGAGAAAAATGCCTCAGCGAGTAGACTTTTTTCTAGAAGCAAAGGCTTCCTGAGACGAAGATCTTATCCTATCTCATCCGATTAGGTGTACAATTAGGTCTATTTGATTTCAGTTTATGTTTAAAAAAAATATAGTTCATTTCAAAATGAAATGAAAATCTTGGAAGTCTTTAGAATTATTCATGACTTTATAATTCAATAATGAATAATTTTAGACATCCTAAGACGCCTCCGTCAGTAAAGAACAGGGGTTCATATGCTATAGAGTAACGAATTATAGTAAAAAATAATTCTAAAGACACCCAAGTCTGCTAGACTTCCTCTTCCCATCAATAAAAACTAGGGATTCATAGGGTATGTAGTTGTTTTATGTGATATGCTTCTTTCATGTATAGTAAGATCTCCTTTCTGCTGTCATGTGTCGAAAAACGCACTAGGTCTCCTAAGTATTCGAAATCTCCACTGTTTGAAAAAACTGGATGTGCGAGTCGTTAGCTTTTTCGGGTCTTTGATCAACTCGAATCGTCAAAAAAAATGTCGAATCAAGTTCAGTCATCAGTAACTTTTCTTCTTTGGATTCGAGTCATTGTTAGTTAGACCCGACTTGAAAAATGACTTTGCGTTATCATCTCTCAATACAAAGAAATAAAGTCTTCAGAAAATAATATTTACAACGAACCTGGGCCACCTTTATAAGCTGTACTACAGCCAGTGTTATGGTAACAACAACTCGTGCAATCAGATGAAACACTCGATAGAGAGCAGATGAAAATCATAAAAATTGATACAACGGCAAGAGAAGTTAGAGACGACATGGCGGTTCTTGATTTTTTACGGATTAAAATGAAACAAAGTATAGGCGACGTTTATTTTGCTTCTTACTTTCTTACTTTCAGTGCACTATTATCAGTTTTCTTTTTAAATGTTTAAAAATAGATAGATAAACAATGATGTTATCTTTATTTTCATCTTGGTTGTGCAAGATTCAAACGACGATACGATAGAAAAATGCGCCATTCTCTTGTCTGTAAACAGACAGAGACGCGTAAGACCAATTTTGAGCCATCTGCACTTTTCCCCTACTCATGACTTTTCTCATGCAAAACTTCATGAGAAATCGTTTAATAATAAAATAAAGCTACTGTTGAAGAGTGTATATCATATTATTTCAAGTGAATACTGTCAGCTTTCTCATAGCTTATATTGAAAATATGTTCTCTTCAAAGAAACCGATGAAATCATCTTCGACTCGGTCGTCGGGATGGGTGTGGGTGAGGGTGTGGGGGTGAAGAGAAGATGCAAATTCACAGCCACAGGCACCCACACCCATGTCCTCAAATGTAAAACCGACGAAATACGTCGTTTATCTGGTCGTGCTTATCGATTTTGTTTTCATACTAATTTAAACACATCATCATATAATTATTTGCGTATTACTGTAAGGATGCAGATACTGAATCTTTTAAAGAGAATATTATATGTTCTAGTTTTTTCTCTAGAGCATTCTAAATGTTTAAGTGAATTTGATTATGAACATCTTAAATCTCCTTCTCTTGAACGAACCTTAAGAGAAGCTATTACAGAAACTACCTGCCGAAATTGTCTTCATTCATGTAAAGATCATTGGATTGAAACATTACGAAGTCAAGATGAACGATGTGCGAATTCACTCTTTGCAAGAGAATTAATTTATTATCAAAAGAAAGGAAACCAAATCGCTTCGATTGCATCGTGCTGTTAGACCAACATCATCAAAATCAACAAAAAAAACATCGTAATGATAGTGACTAATTATTGATTTACATGACGGTCACAAAGTAAAATTTTCAAAACTATATGCTTCTTCGAGTCGGTTTAAAAGCTTCGTGTTCAGAAATTAATTCTGCCATCGTCAATTTTCAGTCAACAGTTTGAATCTTTCCCCACTCGATTGAATTGAAGGTGTAATTTTGTGAGTGTCTATGTCGAACGAAGATGATAATTATGAAACAGATGAAGAGAAAATGACAATCACCGTGTTAGTTCTTAATGCATCAGCGAGATATTGAGCACCACTATCTCCGATGTCATTGTCATAAAGGTTCAGTGTGCTTAGTGTCTACGTGATTATGCGAAGATATATACCAAAGAGATTAAGGAAGAAGAAGAAGAATCACCGTGTTACTACGTAAGGCGTCAGCGAGACCTTGTGCCCCGACATCGCCTATTCGGTTCGCTGCAAGGGCCAGTGTAGTGAGTGTCTATGTGCAGAGAAGAAGACGAATATGAAAGAATGAAGTAATAATAAAAATTACTTTATTGTTTCGTAAGGCATCAGCGAGATATTGGGCACCAGTAGGGCCAATTTGATTATATCGAAGATCCAGTGTAGTGAGTGTCTATGTAGAGACGAGAATAATGATGAGGAAGAGACACAGACAAGAATTTGAATCACCTCGTGATTTCGTAGGACATCAGCAATATGGCGCGCACCAGTATCTCCTATTTGATTATCGTAAAAGTTCAGTTTTTTTAGTTGCTGAATGACACCAAGAACATAGGCATGAGACAGAACAAGAAAAAATAATAATCACCTTTTTATTCTGTAAGGCATCAGCGAAATACTGTGCTCCAGCATCTCCAATTTCGTTTGCTGACAAATCCAGTTTAATGAGTGTCTGTATATAGAGCAGAGGACGCATATAGAAGGACAAAATAACAATAAGCATTACCGTATTATTTCGTAAAGCATTAGCGAGACATTGTGCTCCATCATCTCCGATTTTCTCGTATCCAATGTTCAACTTGGTAAGTGCCTTTATGGAGAGGTGTGAATAGATGCAGGACATATGAAAAGATAATAAATAGCTCACATTATCAGTACATAGTTCTCTAGCTACTCCCACGGCCACGCAAAATCCACTCGCGTTGTTGTGAAGTTCTAGTCTTGTAAGTGCCTTTGTGGAGGGGCGAAGATAGTTATAAAAGAGATTAAATAAATGAGGATTACTGTATTGTTTCGTAAGGCATCTGAGAGGCATCGTGCACCCGAAACTCCTATTTGATTACGTTTAAGGTTTAGCGTTTTGAGCGTCTATGTCGAGACGAGAGAACGAATACCAAAGTGATAAAGGAAAAACTAAGACTACCGTATTGTTACGCAAACCGTTAGCGATATATTGCGCACCGACGTCTCGGATTTGGTTTGCTACAAGCACCAGAGTCTTAAGTGTCTGTTTGTAGAGGAGAAAACAAAGATGGCAATAAAGAAAAGAAAATGAGAGTCACCATGTTGTTACGTAATACATCTGTGAGATGTTGTGCACCAGTGTCTCCGATTTTATTGTACGAAAGATCTAGCTCAGTAACTATCTGTAAGAAGACGAGAATATGAATATGAGTAACATGATGCAAGATTTAGTGTTACCGTGTTGTTTCGTAAGGTGTCAGCGAGATATCGAGCTCCAATCTGACCGATTTGTTTCCAATGAAGGTTCACCACGGTGAACGTCTGAATAGAGCCGAGAATTCGAATATACGAAAAATAAAGAAAGAATGAATAACTCACTCGATCATTGCGCATTCTGATAGATGCTTCTAACGCCTCGCAAACCGTACTTGCATTGTTTTGAAGATCTAATCTTAAGAGTGTCTGTGGAAACACAAGAAGCTTTACCAGAGAAAGAAGAAGCAAAAATAAGGGTTACCGTGTTCTTTCGTAATGCATCTGCGAGATATTGTGCCCCAGTATCTCCTATTCTATTTCGCGAAAGATCCAGCATTTTAAGTGTCTATGTAGAGACGAGACTTGGTATGATAGAGACGAAAGAAGAGTGGGCATTACAGTATTAGTGCGTAACATATCAGCGAAATATGCTGAAGCAGCATCTCCGATTTCATTATCATTAAAATTCAGCGTTTCCAATGTCTGTTCGGTGATGAGAAAATGCATATGAAAAAGATAATGAGAATATAAGAATCACTCTATTGTTACGTAACGCGTCAGCGAGATGTTTTGCCCCCGTAAGTCCTATTCGGCTTCGTGAAAGGTTCAGCGTTGTGAGTGTCTGTGTGAAAACAAGCTGAGGAATACAAAGGAGACCAACAGAAGAATAGAACAATCGCCACTATCTCGGAAAGCTATATCGCATGCTACTGATTCGTAGTGTAAGACATTAGTGAGGTTGTTAGATAGTCAAAGACAAACGGATAAATCGATAGAATGATATAAATTGGTGAGAAACTGACGGTCAATGAGCAAAGCTGGGATAATACGTGGTACAAAGTAACCTGACACTAGGGGTGAGAGCGCAAGAACACCGATGATATTGCTGGAGTGCCTTTTTTATATCTCCCGAAAATGAGTGTATAAATAGCTATTTTCCAAATTGTATTTGTCGCTTTCTATGGCATCTATCATAGAGATACTATCCTTAAAAGAAAAGAAGATTTACCTGACCATACAACTAATTAAGTTTTTAAAGTATAGGAGTGGTAAAAATATCGCATAAGTGGATCGAAAAGTAATTATAAATGCGAACATTTTCAAAATAACAAAATGTCAGAGCGTGCATATCAATTATAAATTTCGTTGTAATTTTGATTAATTCATTTATTCGGTATTTTTTTGTAAAATAAACTATTTTTAGAACGCTAACAATATTTCATGGATTTATAACGGTCAGGATTTGTGAATTTCATACTTTGACATCTGAAGGAGCTGCACTGACAGGTTTTGTGTCTATTTTTGTCAATTTCTTCCACTTCTTTTTCTTATTGTTTCCAGTTTTAGAACTTTCTTGATTTCAAAATTTTTCCTTACTTATGGTTAGGAATTTCATGCATGTCTGGTCGCTGGCGACGCTCTTATTCAAAATAGAAGGTGAAATATTTTTGGTTGCTATCGATTTCTCTAGCGGCTTCCCTCCGTAGTTATTTTTGTCGTTGTTGTCGCTATCAATTTGAGTGAAAGTATCTCGCATCTCTAGCGATGATAACACGAAAAAATATACATGTGTGCAATTTTTTCTCAATTCTTGTTAAGTTGCAACTTTAGCTGAATTCATATAGATTATTTTGAACTACTCTGGAGTCAAGTTTTGAAAAATTTCAGTAACACAAAAGGTTTTACTCTACTCTGTTCGAACCAAGTAAATTATGTCAGTAGGTTAAAAATACCCATGTTGAAGGAACTCTTGCAAAAAATCGTTTCTAACTATAATCTAATGATAAGAGCTGATTACCTTGTTGGTTAAAATGAAAGATGAAGATTCAATTAAAATAAACTTCCGATGAAAATTTTGATAGAAAAAAGCAATGTTATTTCATGTGTCATAGAGATGAGATTTACTGACAGACCTTTTGTGAATTAGTACCAACCATTTCGTTTATCTGTCCTCCAGTCAGATGGCAGACACCTTCTATCGAAGATTCTTCACATCTGATTGAACTTTCGAAATCAATAATGACGACTGGTGTTGTATAGAGCCTCATCTTAAATGATTGTAGAACATAATCACAAGTAACAAACCAACGTTTATTGTTGAGCCAGAATGGAGTTCGAAATGGAGCAATCACTGAATCGAGACTAGTGATGCTGTCATTACTGGTAGATGTATGGCAGAAGAAAAATTCGAATTTATTTAGCCAAAGGAGTTTTGTTTGAATGAAATGTTCCCAATAAAAACCATCAAACACAGAATCCCACGTTGGTCTATTAGAAATCAGCTTAAAATGGAAAAGCTCAGGTGTTAATGAAAGTAGTGATTCGAGATGCTTTGTAGCAACTGAACAGTCG